TAACGTGTCGATTACCGATACTACACAAACCGAGGTAGTGGAAATATATAGATTCTACATGTCGGACTGTTTGGGCGAGAAAGATTTTCGCTAAAAATTATTTACTTCAATTTTTTGAACAACAGGTTTATCCTGAACAAAATACCTCGAAAATTATTAAGGTTTTAAAAAAATTTTCGAAAATGCATGGCAAGTTCTAAATTTAGAATGACTTGATGTTATTCAGACTTTGTTTGTGTAACTTCTCTGTGGTGCAGGTGTAACGCGCTCGCTTAGTGAGTGAGAGGTTGGAGTTCAAATCCCAGTCGAGGGAAATCTTTTTTTAATTTTTTTTAAGTGTCTTTGTTAATAGGAAGTAGCCATGATATGCAAAAAATTAAAGTGTAGCTGTCGTAAAAAATGAACATAAATGATATTTTGATGCAACTCTAGTTATGCAGAATTCCGTATGTATCAAATTCTGGTGCTTGCGAATGAATTATAATACATAAAAATAAACTCATACAGGAAATACATACAGATATACAGTACGAATTAGATTGCAAAGATCAGAAATACCAGAGAACTATGCAGCCCTTTGATTCTTTATAAATATACATGCTTATAGTAAGCTCCAGGATTATTTACATCTGTGTTAAACAACAGTTAAAGTCGTTACAAGCCCTAATTTAGAATAATATGGTTTTCTTTAGGCCGTTCATATATAAATTCACCGTGCCCGAAGGGTTTTTGCGCTCGTTTAGGGAGCAAGAGGTCTGGAGTTCAAATCCCAGTAAAGGCAACTCATTTTTTATCAAATTGTTTAAGTCAAATAAACATTGGATTGAATATCAGTGTTGCAATTAGTCTTATAGCCAATTTACTACAATTAAAACGCTGGAAAGCATTGGTGGCACTATACATATAATCTCACAACCTGTACCTTTCTTACATTCTGAAACCCAAACAAATTCAGCGCCTTCTGTGCTTTGATTATATACGGAAGCGTCTAGCATATGCAAATAATATCATTACAATTACTTTTCTAGACATTTAATCTCCATTTAAAAACATTCATTTGTTTGTTAATTGATTGAGACATCGCAGGTATATATGTTCAGGACAGTTGACCCTAGCTCTTAATATCCATCTTTGCAAATTTGCCCCCTTTCTCACCTCCCCTAATGTGAAAACATCCCCTTGCGCATTTTCCCATATAAAAAGATTATGTATGAAAAAGTATCACATTCAAAGAGCTGATTCTTCAGGGAGCCAAAATGTATATTTTGACATCTTCATTAGATTTGTAAATACACATGGCACAAGCATTTCTTCATATGAAATAAAGATAACGAAACGAATTTAGACGTATACTTTAATACAAGAATAGCGCGAATGCACATAAGTTTCGTGCGTAAACATTTACAGAAGCCCTGGGACTTAATAAATTCCTCGCCCTGTGGACTCCCCTTTCATCCTAGAAGATGTTATACTCAAACAAATATTAAGGATTGTAAAATGATCATGTCGACTAGAAATTAAGAACTTTTAAATTGTGTTACATGTATTCACATTATGCTTTCGAAGAAAAGAAAATGATATATTCAAGAGTTATATATAAAAATATACTTCTATTGACACATGTTGTAGAGGTTAAAGTATCTCCGCTTGAAACGCAAGTCACATTTTTGTTTATATGCACGCTTGTCTTTACTGCAATGTTTGTAATTGTATTCTTTGCATGGGCCGGACGCCTTTTCCTTAGAACGACTGACACATTTACCAACGTCTTCATATAGTCTTGCCCCTTTCCCCAAACCAATAGACAGTGTTGTCTCCTATTCCGAATTGGCACTAGACAGGGATCAATCTACTTCATGAAAAGCGTGACAAAGAGAACGTGATTACATTATGTACGGCAAATTATGACAAAGTGATTGTTATGTCCTTAAAAAGAAAGAAGTAGTGATCCAGTAAATGTGTCCAGTGCATTGCATGACTTTTTCCCCCTACATTGAAGAAAAACAAATCATTTTCCAGCAACAGAGTCACGCACCTCCTCAGAAACATTTGTACATGGTAGAACGCAAATATAATTCTGTCGGACAAGCAAAGTTTGACACGAGTTTTTAGATGAAGCAAACGTTATATATTGTGATACATACACACAAGAAGTACAATCACGGCTTTTATTACATGTACAATGGCCGTGACAATGCACTACAGATAATTAATGCTAGGATATTAAGTCATGCCCTTGTCATCAACATTTAAGAATTCACTTCCTGCTGTCAATCGTGTCTGGGAAACGGTAGAATATAATTGGCATCGTAGGGAGTAGATAACATAGATTCATTTAATTATAATGAAATAGCTGGACTTCGTCCGTGTATGGTTTAATTAATACTAGTAAATGATCTTCTTATACTATACGTGTGAATGTCAGTTATATTTTATATTACATAAAAAAATTGCAGACTGGTTTTGTATAATTAAATTTATCAAGTTTGTACAAATTAAACTTTGTAAAGAACTACATGTATGTTTAATTATCAGGTCATCTTAGTTTACAAAATTCAAATACATTCTTATACAGCATTTTTCATTCAGAAGTGATTTATGATATTTTAAGGTGTTTTCCATCATTTGACTAGGTCTTAGGCTGACATTAAGTATAAAATCAGTACACATTAGTCAAATCTCTTTATTTCGTGTTGACACAGATGACAGAAGCCATCATAAATCTTTGCAGAGATGTCAACGTAATCTTATTAAATGCTGTGATACAATTAAATATATCTGCTATTTTTTACAAGATAATTAGTGTACCTGAAAAGGCTTAAATTTAACGGCGCCTCAATACAATGAATTCATAAACAAAAGGCTTACCAACCCGACAGAGGATTGTCTTGAATCTAAAAGTGTAATTCAATTTTTGTTCAAGGTTCAACAGTATCAAACATCAATTTCAAAAATTATTCTCAGCAGTTGTATAAAAAAACTGACTTAAAAGTCTGGACAAAACCTATATTTCTAATTACTTAATTGAAAACAAAATCTGTCCCCCGATAGGACGCTTAACTTTCTCAGCGCTGGATAGTTACATAAATGCAATCTAGAAAAAGGGGCATAACTTTGCAAAAAAATAATTTAGAATTATCTTCCCTTTTGCTATGTCGTCCTTTTATGACAATTAACATGTATACCAAGTCTGAAGTGAATAGCTTTTAAAGTTTCTAAGAAAATGGACCATAACAAAAACCATGAAAACATTAACCAATGCCAACACTGAAGCAGACTGGGTCATGACAATAGCTCTACTTTTTTCTATGTAAAGTTGAGCTTAAAATCAATAACAAGTGATCTTTACATGATCAATATATGGTATATAATATGTGGACATGAAAAACAAAAAACATTTTTTATCTGTATATTTAAATTGTTTAATGGCAATTTACAAAGTAGACAAATGTATCACTTTTATAATGAAAAGAAAATTGTCGACAATTTATAGACAATAAATACTTTAGACAAAAATTTCTCAAAAATGTTTTTGTTAAAGGGGTGTTTTGGGTTTTAAATGAAAAGTGTTTCAATATGAAAAAAGCAAAGAAATTTAAAAAATTTTCAAAACAATTTAAAAAACTGGAGCTTTTTTCTTACCCCAGAAAAATAAAACCAAAATTTGATATTAAATTCCCGGGCAGGGGATAAAATAAAAATTTATAACTCAAAAATCAAAGGGCGTATTAAAAAACCCCTTTTTTGTTAGAACATAAATTTTTTTTAAATGGTATCACATAAAGAAAAATTTTTTCCATCGCAAATTTACTTTGGCATGGTGAAAATGTTTTTTTTTTTCTTTTGTATTTTTATTGTAAATTGAGTATAGAACATGAGGGAAGTGGGCCACGGGATGATGGGGAAACGATGAACACAAATCTAAAAAAGAAAACATATTATTGATAGTCAAATATCAAAAAAATGCTTTAGAAGTTTAAAAAAAACCTAATGACCTACTGAACAAGATATTGTGATATATCTTTTTAAATAAGTCATCTATTGATTCAATGGTTGACTAAGTTGACTAAAATCACACAAATCTAGTTAAATATTGTTTTTCATTTCATTTCAAAACCAGTTTCATTGACAAAAGTAAATACTATAATTCTTCATTAACCCACACACACTTTTTTCTGCATAGAAGAGGAAAACAATTAAATAAATACTGCAGATAAAGTGTGAAAAAGTCAATACAACTTCGGTCTCAATGGAACCATATGAATATAAATTATAAATAAACAATTAATAAGATAACCTGTAACTATGACAGACATTTCAAGCAATAGAGAATATTTCAGGTCTAAGCATTAAAAGAAAGCTAGAGACTCCTTCCATTTCATTAATCTCTCTCCTATTTAATACACTTTCTAAAGTGGAAAGTAAATATTTAATCTGACAATATGGCCTGCAATCTCTCTCATTTAATTTCATTAAATATTCTATATCACAATCAGGTTGATGGATTTCCTGAATATTTCATTTATTAAACCCACTTGTTCACAAATAGGTTAGAAAACTCCAATATGATTAGCACTGACTTGATTATATGCTATTCAGAATTTCTAAATAAAGCACATCAAAAAGTACAAAATAAATTTATTGGAAACACTTCACAATCCCTCTAATTCAACATTTGCACTTTATTTAATTAACATAATTTTTTTTACCCACTTCCTTAACAGAATTGTTCTTAAAATGTCAATTAAATCACTAACAATGTATAAACAAATGATTTCTGTAGATTAATGTTTTTGAATTAAGTGAATAAAAATAAAAAGAGTAAGTTGTACAACAAGAGGAGGTCAGAACATATGTTTGATGCCTTATATAAGCAATATCCCCACCACTCTTCTATGTGGCATGCATTTCTTTGCCTTAACAGTGCAATATCATAAAACTTAGCTGTGTAGTGCTTCCAGTTTTTTTGTGTTTTTTTTTGCAAAAAGTGTCACACATACCTGCACAAATTAATCCATTCTGCCTTTCAAAATTCTTTTTGTTACTTTATCTTTCTCACTGAAAACACACAAATAAAATTATTGAAAAGGTATATGTACATGAGTAAGTTGATAAAAAAAAATACGGTTTGTTATAATGATTCTATTTGTTGGTCTATAAATAGCATTTAACTACTGTAGCTATATATTTGTCTAGAAGTTAAGTAAAGTATAATGCTGCTACCATTTAAGTAATGGGAGAGAACTATATTTTTCCCTTCCAACATGAAATTGCTTGAGTTACTTTCCCTGATTAGTATAATATCGGTATCCAAGACACACATTTTATGTCTCATAACTTTTAAGAGCTTACAACAATTTTTGTACTCTTTGTGTCTTTGTTTCAAAATATAAATACAATAACAACTGAATACAACTTGTATTCCTTATCAATATAAATCTTTATTATCACTAGGGGAAAACAAGAGCACCACATGCACATTTTAAGTTAAAAAGAGGCATAACTCCTAAAAATACTTCTTTCTGGATAATGCCCCTTGTCTCACAACTATTCCTTTCCTTTTTGACATGATTACCACTGAGGAGAGCAAGAAACAATTAGGGCTGATTTATGCCATGTGGTACTTTTGCTTCTTTGCCTCAAAATGTGAAAATGTTATAATACCAAAATACAACATCAGGCGAAAATGTAAATCATATATCTGTCGTATATTTGCATTCTATCTGTCGTATTTTTGCTTTTTGGCATTCAAAATACAAAAATGTGAAAACACAAAAAGCTGTTTTCGCATCTTCGATTTTTCGCATTTAACATTTTCACATTGCTGCATTTTCGCTTTTACAGATATGTAACAAGATATTACTACTTACATGATATAGACAACACCTCCCCAACCAGAGACAGCATCTCGGTCGACAGCATTTAACAGGCACTGTGATATAGTCTCAAACAAGTCATCAGGTTCCTGCAACAACATACCAACATTTATTGTGTACATGTATGTAAAAAAGAGCCACAGCAATAGAGAATCTCCTTACAAAGTGACTCTTTTTTCACAACCACTGTTTAACAGGTCTGATAATATTTTATCTCTTTACAAAAGTAATGAAACAAAGTTTTATGCTTTTAAACATATTTAAACAATGTGTGACAGATAATTTGTTTAACCCTGATGCTTTACATTAAAGCCTTACACCAATTTTCATTACACACTCTGATAAAATCAACATACACAAATGACTGCAGAACAGCAAGATGTTTTTTTTTTTTCTTTTATTTCAACAGTACTGAGGAATTTAAATCTATAATGTTGATTTATAATAAAATAGAAGTCATTCAAATCCCTGGACAACTGTTTATATGAACTGTTTCATAGTCAATGTTCCCTTCAAGAGCTAGTGGCAATATTGAGAGGCATTGTCACTGGTACAGCTACAGAATAAGGCCATCATTCAATTCTGTGCTGTGTGATCTGGCTGTAAACATCCAGCTGCATGATTCATGTGGTATAGAAATCATTCCTATAATATCACAGTTGACAGTTCCAAATACAAAGCAGGGTAAGATTATTATAACAAATTTAGCAGGGAAAATATATGACAAACCTGATCAGGTTTATATAGAGTTTCACACATTCCATACATCTGTTCACTACAGGTGCCAGAGACAACAAAATCTTCAGTAATCATCGGACATCCAATCAGATCTAAGCTGGCTATAAATGGTTCACTTGTTTTAGGATCTAACCCTGCAATCACTGGCTCCACAAAATATGGGCCAAACCTGAAAGTAACAGGAATATTGAGTAGGAACTAAAGAACACACACACACAAATCATTTTTGTTTTAAATTATTAAAATATTTTCTTATTTCAATTTGTATACACAAATTTTCTAATTAAGATGAAATCATTAATATGATCCCTCAAAAATGCATAAAATAGTCAATAGTCAAAAGTCATGATAACTCTTCAAACATGTGGCCTTAAAGATTAAAGTGATATAAGCTGGGTTGGATATCATGCCCACCTCAGACTATTTCCCACCAGGTAAACTGTACCCAGGTTAAAAATTGTTGGGGTTTTATTTCAGAATAATAAGTGAATACATGGTAATACAATATTTCAAGTTTTCATGGTCATGGCATGTCAAGAAGTCTTCAACATACTGAAATCATGCTCTGAATTAATCAATTACCAATAATCTCACTCCACTCTGATGATAAAATATAAACACACAGAGATCTCACAACTAAGTATTCCCCTAGGATAACTCAGTAAATACAGGTAACTCCTCTAAAAGCAATTTGGTCCGCTTTTGTGTTTTAAAACCCGGCTTTTTTTAACCCTGGATTTTAGGGGTCAAGGTCACCTTCCAATAATGACAACATGCTTTCAGTGATATTTGCATTGGTTGAAATAAACAATTTTGCACAATTTAAAATACTATGCAAAAAGGGCATGATTGTTTGTTTGTTTCATTTTCCGCCTTTTCCAAACAGTATTTCAGTCATATAGACGGGTTGTTCCTAACCATCGTTCCTGGAGAGTTACACCAGTACTAGACTACCTTTCTCCGTGCTAAACTACCAAAGCATCTCCCGGGGATCGAACCCACGCCAGAGAGGTAACTGGATTAGAAGTCATTGACTCTTACCCCTCGACCACGGAGGCGGTCAAAAGGGCATGAAAAAGGTTGCAAAAGAAACCAAATATTTTTCCCAATTAAGCAAGTTTACAACGCAAAATTTCTCATACAGGCAATTAGTGCTGCATGGAATGTAATTATTTGAAATTTTTTGAAAAAGCTTCATGCCAGGAACAAGTCTGCTTAGTTTTAACAACATCCTAAAGCTTTACAAGTAGATGTTGTTTGACATAAAAACTGATGGCAGACACAGCCCAGTCACAAATACATGCCATGGTGGCCTTATAGCTCAGTTGGTTAGATCACTGACTGTCACTTCTCAGGTTCCAGTTTCGATCATGGGTAACACCCTTAGGTATTTTCAAAAACACATTCAGTTTAACGCAAATACCTCGAGGTATACTGGTAAGAAACCCAGGTAATCCTCAAATGTATGAGTGCTATACACTGGGCATGTAAAAGAAATAAGGGATCTATTGAATAAGAGCTAGGGACTGGTTCCCAGATTCCCTTGTATCTCATACTAATAAAGCTGTCTCTGGAATTTGCTGAGATAAGGACACTACTGGGAATAAGTGCTTTCACTTTCGTAGGTTTTCCTCCACTGCTTGGTCTTAAGAAAATCAATCATGCTAACAAATACATAATCTCAAACAATACTAACCTCCTACTGTACAGAAGATTTGATACCATACTGAGGAATGTTTTAGGTTTGATGTGTCTGTTTTCCTTTAATTCATACAAATTAAGCCTAAATTTCAACCTCTGTGATCTGTAAAATACAAATATATTTTGGAGAAAAGAATAGTATTAGTAATTTCTAAGATTATGGAAAAGGTCTGATTATCAGATTAATTTATAAATGAATAAACAAACACTTAAATTTTTTTAACTAATATTAGTTGGAAATTTCTGAGATTTCTTATCAAAACAAAAATACTATTAAACCTAGTAAACAAGGCTATATTTAGGTAATCATTGTGTTCAATTGACTAATCTCCATGTACATGTATACAATTTTATTTAAACTACAACTTACACAGTTTGTACATCTGTTGCCAGTCCTGGAAGACCAACATATAATCGGGGTCCCATTTCGAAGATCTTTTCAAACTGTGTGTTAATGGTCTGTGCTTGTATACCAAATCTTCTATCGGCAGCTATAGCCACACACTCTTTACCTTTCATTGCCATAATGGCAGCCCCATTATACGACATAATAGACTGAAATGAGAATAGACCCCTATGTTTACATATGTATATTTAATACAGTAAACTAATACATCAAATAATCAATTTATACTACAAATATGCAAAAAGCCTACAGTACTATATATAATCATTGATCTAAATTATTGCTGATAATTGTTAGTTGGACAGGGCCACATAGATTTAACAATCAAAGGATTTGCAATAAGCTTGCATAAAATGTAACATTTCTTGCTGCAAAGGAGATTATTTCAGATTCAATTTTTACCGAGAGATAAATCATCTCCCCGACAGTCACCTGATTTATGGGACAGTCCCAGACTATATGGCATATATTGGTATGAGTCTTTTCAGGGGAAAAAAAAAACAATTTTATTATAAGATCTACATTTATAATAAAAATATTTTAAAACAATGAATATTTTTTAATCACCACTGATTACATCTCACAAGTTTCACCTTTTCTTTTCCATCAGTTCATTTGTGTTAGACACAAAACCAAAAAATGATTTAAAAATGATAATGTCTTGATTTACATGTATCTGTATTTGAGGCCAGCCTTAAAAAAATGTTTGTTTGCAGTAACCCGACCCAGAATGTTCAAGGTGGGTAGGTAGGTCGATTTTTTTTTTTTTTATTGAACTGAACTCCCAAATAAACATGGAATTTCAAAAGGCTTGACAATATATGCTTTAATAATCTGGTAACAATTAATAAATTGATAACTGAATTCTAATTTAATAAGAACTACATTTTATTTCTTCTATTAACCTTTAAAAGAACGAAAACAAAGCACAGGGCATAATTTTCTGATTCAAAAAAAAAAAAATTTTATATCCAGACCATGAAAAAACATTTGAGTAGGGGCAAATTTTGTGAGTCGGTCGCGTTACTGCAAACAAACATTATTTTAAGGATGGCCTGAGCAGTCTACGTGTTAAAGTTATTTTTATATTTGAAATAGAATAATCATAATTATTTGCACTTTTAAATGCTTTGTAGCATTTAAAGCTTCACAGACAGTTTTTCAACAGAAATAGTATTCTTTTATTTAACAAAAAACCCTTACAAAAATGCTGAATAAGGTTAAGTTGTCTGATAAAAACAATGCCTTTGATCTATTGATACATCATGATGCTCCTCCATGGATGTCATATATAGTTCCAATTTTAAACAATTTTATAAGGCATGACTGTACATATGAGCAAATTACAATAACTGTTGTCTTTGTTGTTAGGTATATCAAAGATTTTGTTTCTTATTTTATCAGTACTTAAGATGCCATAAATTTAACATTTAAAATTCTTTACCAGCCTACTGGCTTGCAAGCAGTTCCCATATAAAAGCAGTTTAAACAAAGTCTTGTATTCTTTAAAAATTTATATTCAATCACAAAGATAATTATGTGAATGAGACAAAATTTTTACACAATTGGCTCACAGCTTTGCCGTATTCAAATGTGCCATGCTTTGAAGATTAAAACCAGTCTGGCTATAACTGCAGCCATTTGGTAATATATTGGTTCCTATATTCAAAGCGCGGCACATTTGAATATGGAAAAGCTGGGGAGCCAATTTTGAATTTGTCGAAACATTTTGTAAATGGAGTTAACGGTGATTATCTTGATGTTTATGTCGCCTGTTGCGTTGTTTATATTGCCGTTTAGGTCTAAAATTTACCATCATCACGGAGAATAATATTTTCTATGTCAATGAACAAAAAGATTATGTGAAAATATTGGAATGGAATAAAATACTAGTGATTTTGACGGTAGGTGTCAATTTTTTTTCCCGTGAACATTTTTAACTTGTGTATTTATAGATGTTGAAATATGAATTTTTTTCAAAACGGCTTATATTTTTTTGATATATATGATCAGTACATATGCTGGGATTGACGTATAAAAGGCGTTTTAAGATCCACACCTCAAGTGTCTGTGGGTTAATAGCAAGCTCGAAGAGCTGGCCCAAAGTGCCTGTTCGTAAAGTGAGCTTTACGGTAATGCAAATACCTGCTAAATAGTGATGGTTCAGGGCTTTTTTACATTCTATAGCAGGGGCTGGTATAGGGCTGCTTCCCCAAAGAAAAATTCTTTAAAATCATGGAGTTTTCCCCAAAAATTCAATTTACATCAAGTTTTCCCTTCCCCTTTTGCAAATATACCCAAAATTAAGGGCAGGACTGCTTCCCCAACCTGTGAAAAAAAGCCCTGTGGTTTTGATTTTGAACAGGCTGGTGAAAATACCCTATCGGGCTTATGACACAAAAAATCATATTTCTAGAAAAATAATTAAGATATTTCTTTTAAACTTTGTTTGTTTATTGAGCATAATTTATAACATAAACAGAGAGAAAAATAGTTGGTTACTGTCACTTTTGTGAGAATTATATCCCCTTTTTCATGGCTGTTGAAGCCTGTTGAAAACTTTTGTCGGAAGTACTGAATTGACACATCGCAACTTTTCGAAATACAAGATAACGATAAAAGCAGAGGAATTCTGATTGAAAACGGATGCAAATAGTGAAATACTGGTGTCCTGCGGAAGTAGCGCATAAAATACCTAATGGCATTTTTAAAATGGTAAATGTAAAATAAAAATTAACGATTATTAAATATTATTTCACGACAGGGTATAAGTTAATCGAGCTTTCTTTGAGGCTTTGCCTTTTTTATATTATTGTGTATGTTATAGAAATAAGTTCCTGTGTTCTACCCAAAATCATGAAAATGCCCAACTTTTCAGGCAAAATGTTTCATGATTTCAAGATTTCAAGGAGAATAAAAGTATTCCTTTTAAACAATAAAGAAATAAATACATTGTCAGATGTTTACAGAAATCGAACCTACCATTTTGAATGTGTTTTTTGTTGGAAAATTAAACAAAATAGATTGAATGTTGCAAGTCACTACGTCGTGGTTAGACAGGCGCTTGGCCGGTACAAAGCGCCTGATTGTCAATGATTAATTTTGTAGAGTATTAGGTCAGACATATGTATAGGTTTTTCCATAGGCTTATGCATCTTTGTCGATGTCCTGTGATTCACAAAGACATGTACGTACCGATGGAAGAGAGTAAATTCTTATTAAGCTCAATGTTTTTTTTTTTTTAAAGAAAATCAAACACCATAAAAATAGGATCCTACTGCTAAGGAGACATAAAGAACTGCTAAGGAGGCACAAATTAAAGACCTTTAAATGTCATTTAGGGACTTGATAATGATAGAATTAAAGCTACAAAATAGTATTTTGGATAAAAAATTGTGATTTAGTCATATAAATTGCATGTATGTTTTCTATCAGTAAATGGTTACCGATAAGACACTGAGCTATCATTTGGTATTCAAATTCAAATTTTCTGGAAAATTGTAAAAACATGAATTTAACTTGTGTATGTGAAATTGCATCATAAACGTTTATTTAATCTGTTCATTTTTAAAAGAAGATTTTAAGGTTAAAAACTTAAGATTTTTGCTTCATAAATAGAAACAGGTGTCGTCTACCTAAAAATAATGAACTCTGACACGAGGTCAATTTTTGATCGTAAAGACAAAATTTGAAGAGAAAGAAAAACCTATGCTTTAATTAATCTATCGAAACTCTATGCTGTAGATATTGCGAAATAAATATATTTTGGCGACCATTTTAATGCAATGGCAACTGTGTCACATTGAATGTTCTATGATAACCGCCGTGTGAACACATCTGCGGATGTTTCTAACTCCAAAATTTTTACCATTTTTTGTTTTGTTTAAATGTTGAATCCTGCTTGGTGCTTAAAAGCCGGTGCTAGGGGCATGGATGGCAACTTGCACTTTCCAGTACCGTCCATGAACAGACTCCATCAAACCGAGCCTGCAACGGTAAATTATGGTGGACGGGATATTAATTTGGGTGTACATGTTTTACATGCATTTCTTGTCCTGCTTGTTTGTAAAGACGGGAAATTCTTGCTATAAATAGCAAAATTTTATATATTTTTATTTGAGGTGAAAAAGAACAAATTAGTAAAATAACAAGAATAAAGATCAACAAGGCAAAGGCAACGTTCACAGGACGCCGCCCCCGGACACACCCAAGCAGGACACCCAGAAGGCACCAAACAAGTACCTGGAGTGGACACAAGGGCGAAAGGAGCGGGACATGTAATTATAATGTGAAATAATACAATCAAAAACAGGACTATAAGGGAATTAAAGGGAAAAGGGCTGTACGGGTGAAAAGGTGGGGGATTAAAAATGGAAGGGGGGGGGAGAGAAAATACCTACCGTCAACGACAATCCAATAAGACAGACATCACAAAACATGTAAACATCCAAAAACAAGTAGTAACAATACAGACAAGAAAAACACGTGAAGGAACACAAAGGGGTACCGCCTTGGAACGGTCAGTGGTAGTTAAACCACTGGGGAGTTTAAACCGGTTTTAGGCGCGCCAAACCTCACTCTTAGCCCCAATATGTTCCTGAATGACACGAAAATGTATATAAAATTAATCCCCGCCAAGTGAAATTCTAACAATGGTCATGGTTACATTAGACGAAATAAATAAAACACATACAAAATTATGTAAATATGTAGAAAAAGTTACAGCCTAATGACCATTACCAAAGTACTCGATGCCTTAAAGGAAGGCAGAGCAACAAGAAAATCACCTACAAGGGCCCGACGAAGCAAGGCAGAAGACGAACATTAAGACAATTCAGTCCCCAAAGGGCTTTAAGAACTGTCCATCATAGAGTCTCCCACTTGGTCCGTCAGATGTAATCAAAAGAGGAAAGCGTAGCGTCCAACTGTAAAAGGGTTGAACACCAAGCATGCGGTATGCCTTAAAATAATTGGGTCATAACCTCTTTTAATAAACCGTTTGATAATTTTAGTGAAGACGGCAGAAAAATTACTATGACCCATGATCCTACGAAGTTTGTAAACCACATCTCCATAGAAGTCAGGCCTGCTAATACCTTGTCGTAAAAGAGTTTTTAAATTACAATTAAATTTTAAAACTAAGTCTGAATTACGATGGTAAAACTTAGTAAAATATTTACGCAATTTATGATAGCGATAACCTTGTTTAAGAAGTTTGTTAGTAATAAATAAATTGCGTTCATTAAAATCATCAACACGACTGCACGCCCTAGCAAATCTAATTAATTGAGAAATATACACCCCATATGATGTAGCATGAGGTACATCTCCATCTAAATGTGGGTAGTTAACAATATTAAAATCAAAATCATCTCTTTTATCGTAGATTTTAGTTACTATAGTATTGTTAATGATAGAAATGTTTAAATCTAAAAAAGATGTAATAACGTCTGAAGAGTTAGTTTTATTCAATTTAAGTTCACTGGGATATATTTTAGAAACCAATTGATCGAAATAAGGATTATTCATGTTAAAAATATCATCTAGGTAGCGGGAAGTGTTGTTAAATGCATGTATAATTTCCTGATGCGAAGTAGGGGAAAGACTTAACATAAAATCCCTCTCATAGCAATAAAGAAATAAATCAGTTATCAGGGGGGCACAATTAGTTCCCATTGGAATGCCTATTACCTATTGCTATGTTTTACATGCATTTCTTGTCATGTTTGTTTGTAAAGACGGGAAATTCTTGCTATAAATAGTAAAATTTTATATATTTTTATTTGGTTGAATAGACTTGCTAATGAAAAAAAATATTAAGTTAAATAACTAGATCATATTTGGGATTAATTATTAAGTAAAATCGAATTCAAATGGATTAATACTTATAATGTAAATAAAAATAAATTGAAAATAAATTCATATTCAAATGAAAATGTCATTTCTTTCTAATGTCTCGGATTATTAGATAAAGTTATATAGAAAATTCACGACATTCAATGCCTTATAGTGTTAGCACTCATAAAATCAAATGACTTCTAGGGTACGGCAAATCAAGTTTTGAAAATCAACCAAAGAATAATTATATCACAGGTAAATTCCATTAAATTAAGATCATGGATTTTCAAAAGAGCTCTCATTTGAAACAATTGTGAGGGACAAACGGCGGACAACACGTTTTTGTGCAATCATATGATGTCCTAACATAAACGCTTTTCTACATGGTGACGTGATTGTTAGCGGAAAAAAATATTTCGACAAAAATGATCTCATTCTTGTCTTTAAGATTAAACCTGTGCTCATTTTATGATTATTCTTGGTGTGGCTGGTTACTGCTTTGAAGTGGTAAATGTGTTATGAATTAAAATAGAATACTTTATTATTAAGTCAATCCGAAATGCCTAATTATTAACCCTCCAAAAAGATTTCAACAGCATGGAGTTTAACCCAGATAAATTCGAAATCCTAAGAATCAACCGTAAGAAATATCCTGTCATATTTCTTTATAAACTACATCGTCATGAACTAAAATATTTAGGTGTAAAATAAGCAAATACCTATCTTGGACTAATCATATTAGTAATTTTACAGCAATAGAAAATAACTCCTTCAGATTTATAAAAAGGAATGACAAACTTCCAAAAAATGTTTACAAATAGAACAAGTTCGAATGTTAGCTGTCCAAAGACTATGTTGAACAATTACACAAGTAGTGGGTTGAAGATGTTACAAGATCTTTATCGGCAAACTGTAGAAAAGCAACTTTAGCTCTGTAACTCTCCTATATAAATCAATAATTGACTTTAAATTTGTCTGTAAATTTAATTGCATCAATTAAGACTTTAATACATGATAGTGATAATGAATTTTAATTCAATTTTTCAATTTCAAAGCTTTTTTAAAGAGGAAAATGGTCAAATAAGTGTTTAAAATGGGTAGGGTAGGATTAAATTTTTATACATATCTTGTGTGAAACAATCATTTTGCTCGCGTAATTTGTTACCTGAATGCTTTTATTTGTTTCTAAACAATGATCAATAGGAAAACAATCTTCTTAAGGACTATATTATAGATTATTCAGAGTTTCCACATTTCTGAAAAAGAGCCCTTCTAATAGCAAAGTTTTAGTTCAGTTAAATGTCCATAACTCATAAACCATACGGTAGATTTTGTTTAAATTTTGCAAGTAGGTGTTCATTAGGCATATAACTGTCATATGTTGTGTCATGTTAACAAGTTATATTGTATCATTTTATGCATTGTATATATGTGTTTGAGTAGCAAGAAACGTCATGTTTGTGTTACCAAATAAAATCATTTGAATCTTGAATCTTGTCAATTTACAGTTCCTTATAGTTCCCATTAGGTGTGTTCTAACTCAAGAGGTACATTTGTTCAATTTCCAATATCAACTGGTAATCTATTGATTCTTGTCTGAATTTGATAAAAATTAAAAATAATTGCATTTTGGGAGTACGGGAGATGAGGTTCAATTCCAAAAGACTTTTTGAAAATTTTGTAAAAAGAACTATTGCTTGATTCATTTATCTTTGAATACCATTCATTTAGAAAGTATCTTTTAGCTTTTGTCTTACTGTTAATTCTAACCATTTGGTTCCGGGAAAATTATGGTCATTCCAAACATTGTTGAACGCGCATTTTATCAGTATTGATTTTAAATTATAAATCCACGGGTGATTACGTTCAAAATCATTATCATTGATATTTAATGCGTTTCTTACCATATAAATATATACAAAGTGTGACAATAAATTATTATGACAGTATGACGCGCCCAATATGAAACTATTCTTTCCCCGATATCTGCAGACAATGGCATACATCCCGTTTCGCCGTATGAGAAATAACTGGCCACCGAGCGTTTAAGGACATGTTTTAAAATTTTGAACTGTGCGCGTTTAAGGACATGTTTTAAAATTTTGAACTGGGCGCGTTCAATAACGTCAAGATTAGTGTATCCCCAAATTTCAGAACCATAAAGTAAATTGGTTTAACAGTTTTATTAAAAGTTCATTTTGTACATTTAAGTTAATTGGTAAATTTAATCTATTTGAATTTCTTATTAGGCTGTACATCGATCTTGTAGCTAAAATTGTTCTGCATGATGTGTCTTAGTTTTAGCAAAAAAACAACAAACAATTCTATTAAAATATATATATGCTGAGGTACTTATATTTTTTACAATTTCGATTGTTGTCTGGTCTATTTAATGGCTTTATATGTAAATTCGAAAATATATTTTCCTAAATGCATAATTAATGCTTTAACTTATATCTATGGTGGTACGGTTACTTTACTAGCAATAACGAGGAAAAATGTAATATTGTATTTAAAAAAAACTAGTAACTTTGAAAATATTTTATGACTCACTCTGAGTGCTTTCTTTTTTCAAATGTACCGCTACAAAGAGTTGTCCACAACAGCCCTTCTGAAAACCGTGACTATTTATATAGTCCCACAACAGAAGAACAGATCGAAACATTTTGCTATTGTTAATTTTAAAACTACTTTTTCACTATTTCTTTATTAACATTTTCTAGTTTCAAGAAATAATGTAAATAATGATCAAGATATATGATTGGGTGGCGCAATAGCTCAGTTGGTTAGACCACTGACTGTCACTCCTGAGGTCCCGGGCTCGATCCTGGGTAACACCCTTGGGATTTTTTTCAGAGACACTTTCAGTGTTTCCCACTTAACCAGGGGTGTACTGATAAGAAAACCAGGTAATCCTCGCATGCATCAGTGCTATACACTGAGCATGTAAAAGAACCAAGGGGCTTTTCAATAAGAGCTAGGGACTGGTTCCGGATTCCCTTGTTTCTCATATTTTTCTTTTGAGTGACTAATCTAAAGTCAAGTCTACATCGATCCCCGCGAGGGTTTTTACATTAATTGTACTTGTATTTAGAGGGACGGTATACTTTGCAGACGACTTTGCAGACAAGTTAAACATAGAGGGATTTTGCAGACAAGTTAAATAAAGAAGGAATTTAGATTTTGCAGACAATATAGATTATATAGGGGGTGTTTAATCCCTTGTCAAAAGGTGTGAATGGGCAATTATATTGATTTAATACCATCTAGAAAGATCTATAATTATTTGCAAAACTTTATTTATTATTTGAAAAATAGTTTTAATGATGATTTTTTTTAACAATAATTTGTGCTTTTATAAAAAAATATAAGAATATAATTTAAAAAAAACACTAAGTAATTGCATGAGACAGAATATAATTATTATAACAAACAAAAAATATTAAATAACTTTTTTTAAGTTAATACATAAAGTATAGACAGAATAGAGGTTGAATTTTGCAGACAAGTTAAACTAAGAAGGATTTTGCAGACAAGTTAAAATAAGAAGGATTGTGCAGACAAGTTAGATATAGAACAGAATATAAAATGATGGGGGAATATTAGAAAAATCTGTATTTCGCAGACAGAATTAATGTTGAATTTTGCAGACAAGTTAAAATAAGAAGGATTTTGCAGACAAGTTAGATATAGAACAGAATATAAAATGAAAGGGAATTATTTGAAAAATCAATTTTTCGCAGGCAGACAGAAATAATGTTGAATTTTGCAGACAAGTTAAAATAAGAAGGATTATGCAGACAAGTTAGATTAAGAACAAAATATAACATGACAGGGGAATATTAGGAAAACCTGTATTTTCAAGACAGAATTAATGTTGAATGTTGCAGACAAGTTAGAATAAGAAGGAATTTGCAGACAATTTAGATATAAAACAGAATATAAAATGATGGGGGAATATTAGAAAAATCAGTATTTTGCAGACAGAAATAATGTTGAATGTTGCAGACAAGTTAAAATAAGAAGGATTTTGCAGACAAGTTAGATTAAGAACAAAATATAAAATGATGGGGGAATATTAGAAAAATCTGTATTTCGCAGACAGAATTAATGTTGAATTTTGCAGACAAGTTAAAATAAGAAGGAATTTGCAGACAATTTAGATATAAAACAGAATATAAAATGATAGGGGAATATTAGAAAAATCTGTATTTTGCAGACAGAATTAATGTTGAATTTATTATTATTCAATAATTATTTTCTTTACTTTAAATTAATTGTTGGTTCTGTATATCTACTATTAATATTCTTTATCCATTTATAGCCTTTTCAGTTCTTTGTATGACCTTTTGTCCTGTGTATTGTTAATGACATTCAATGATTAAAAGGTGTGAACCAATTAGTAATAAATGATCTGTACCAGTGTTTATTGTTATTTCAAAGTGTCAATACATGTTGTATATTCAATTTGTTTATCTATGTGATATTTTGGTTAAAAAAAACTTGAATGTCAATGATATTTGAAGTAATATTACCCAGTATTATTCATTTATTACTTATGTTATGTTCTTATACATCTCAGACTATATTAGATTTTTTTTATGTTTTTAATAATTATGTGAAAAACTATTGCTAATAAATAAAGTTAAGATTGAAAAAAAAGCTTTGAAAAAATTAAAGTAAAGAAAATAATTTTATTGATTAATAATAAATTCAACATTTTTTTTCTGTCTGCAAAATACAGATTTTTCTAAAAGTCACCTCAAATTTCATATTTTGTTCTTTATTTAACTTGTCTGCAAAATCCTTCTTATTTTAACTTGTCAGCAAAATTCAACATTAATTCTGTCTGCAAAATACAGATTTTACCTTATAATCCCCTATCATTTCATATTTTGTTCTATATCTAACTTGTCTGCAAAATCCTTCTTATTTTAACTTGTCTGCAAAAATCAACCTTAATTCTGTCTGCAAAATACAGATTTTTCCAATAGTCACCTCAAATTTCATATTTTGTTCTATATCTAACTTGTCTGCAAAATCCTATTTATTTTAACTTGTCTGCAAAATTCAACATTAATTCTGTCTGCAAAATACAGATTTTATCTTATAATCCTCTATCATTTTATATTTTGTTCTATATCTAACTTGTCTGCAAAATTCAACCTTAATTCTGTCTGCAAAATACAGATTTTACCTTATAATCCCCTATCATTTCATGTTTGTTCTATATCTAACTTGTCTGCAAAATCCTTCTTATTTTAACTTGTCTGCAAAATTCAACATTAATTCTGTCTGCAAAATACAGATTTTACCTTATAATCCCCTATCACTTCATATTTTGTTCTATATCTAACTTGTCTGCAAAATCCTTCTTATTTTAACTTGTCTGCAAAATTCAACCTTAATTCTGTCTGCAAAATACAGATTTTACCTTATAATCCTCTATCATTTTATATTTGTTCTATATCTAACTTGTCTGCAAAATTCAACATTATTATAAATTGTGTCTGCAAAATACAGATTTTACCTTATAATCCCCTATCATTTTATATTTTGTTCTATATCTAACTTGTCTGCAAAATCCTTCTTATTTTAACTTGTCTGCAAAATTCAACCTTAATTCTGTCTGCAAAATACAGATTTTACCTTATAATCCCCTATCATTTTATATTTTGTTCTATATCTAACTTGTCTGCAAAATTCAACATTAATTGTGTCTGCAAAATACAGATTTTTCTAATAGTCACCTCAAATTTCATATTTTGTTCTATATCTAACTTGTCTGCAAAATTGTTTGTTATAAGCATTATATACTGTCTCATGAATTATTATTTTTTTAATTATTTTCTTATTTTTTTTTATGAAAGCATAAAATAAAATAAAAACATCAAATTAAAACTATATTTTTTTTAAATTAAATAAAGTTTTGCAAATTAATTATACTTTCTAAATGGCATTACTTCAATGTAATTGCCCATTCACACCTTTTGACCAGTTGACAAGGGATTAAACATCCCCTATATAATCTATATTGTCTGCAAAGTCTAAAATCCTTCTTTATTTAACTTGTCTGCAAAATCCCTCTATGTTTAACTTGTCTGCAAAGTCGTCTGCAAAGTATACCATCCCGTATTTAGAGTAGTTCAACCTAAAATAAACGTCGCAAGTTCAAGTGTGCGTCGTTTAATAAACGATTTTTATTTTTGATTTTCTTTAAATTGTTTGTAAAAGACAAATTAAACCGTCAAAATGGGGAAGGGTTTTAATAATTACATGACCAAGAAGTTTTTCCATCCGTCAAGTAAAGAAAATATCAAACGGGTAAGTTGCTTAATTGAGTTTCTATTTATTCTGTAGAATAACTGAACTGTAACAAAGTTCGGATAGGTCCCAGTGCTCGCACTTTTACAATCCTACTAATCATTACTAATTCACCAATGCATTTTTAAAACATGGAAATAAAACTGAATTACATGTATAATATTGAAGTTTAATGGAACTGTACCAGGCTCTACTTTGTATATTTCGTACGTGATGATTTATCACATAGAATATTTTCTAAATAATTTTGGCCGTATAGTGGGATTGGGAATAATATATCCTCGACTACCGTAAATTCGCGACGCTAAGGATTCTCCGGCGTAACAAACAATAAAAGGTGAACAAGTAGAAAATATACCTCACTTACTTAAAAAAATTTATTTCCTCTTTATCCTCACAAATATTTCATACGAATAATCCTCAACAAGTGTCAATGACATTTTTGTTTATATTTATCAATGGAAGGCGGCCATTTTGTTTCACTTCCCGCCATCCGCGGATGTGACGTAATCCCATATTTCTTTGCAAAAAAAGTACAATACGGCCACATCTAAGTTTGAATATTTGGTTTTGGTGACTACTTGGTCCAAAGTGAACATTTAATTAAAAATTATTGTTTCAACATATATTTAACAGTAGATTTTCTTATATGAAATTATGTGCTACCTAAACATTGAAAATTGAATAATACTTTTTTTAAAATTCACGAATTCGAAAACCTAGCTAAACGCCGTTTTCCGGTACTTTCTGTACATAGCTCTGGGGAATTCACCTAATGGAGTGTAATAGCGAACTCAAAGTTTTCGGCCTTTTTTAAATTAAACTGAAATAAAACACTTATTTCTTTATAAGAAAATTATTAAATATCATTGTATGAATAATTCCATACAAAAAATAAAGTAAATACACAAGTTTACGCAGAAAATAACCTTATTTATTATGTAAGATTCCACTACGTCGGTTTGAATTTTATTGATTTTCATTATAAACAATTTATTTTTTTGAATAATTTGCAATAGATATTAAACGAATATTGATAATTTTCAAAAACATCAATTTTTTTCACCTTAAACGGTTAAATAATGATAGAAAAATAGACATATCTCGTAACTGTGTTATGTACTTCATTTGGTGTAATTCCCCAGAGCTAAAACGGTAACGTACCGGAAAACGGTGTTTAGCTAGGTTTTCGAAAAGGTCAATAAAATGTTTCTGGTGGTTAGAGACTGACATGTCCCACACTACAGAACATTTATCAACATTAATTTATAAAAAAAAAAAACGGTCACGCATGCGCAGAAACCAGTTAGTCCGAGACTATCATAGAAACAAAGATGGCCGCGGATCTACGGTAGTCGTGAAATAAGGGGAAGTGATGATACAAGTCAAACGAACAACAACAAGTTTTTAAATTCAAACTATAAATTTAATTGAATGTGTGAATGAATCAATTATGTATATATAAATATATAGAACCTATGTTTTCTAATTAAGTTTACGTTAAATTTATAAGTTTATAGAAAGAATTGCCCTAAGATATTTAAAAAATAACTAGATTTCTAATATTTATTTTGCAATTAGCATAAATAAAATGAAGAGAAATAGATTCTCAAATTAAAATTGAAGCACTAAGGCTTCGAAGGAGTATCGGTAGGCCGATACACCTAGCTAGCAAATTAAAGAAATGCACGAGTTTATATAGTGAATACAAGTGCAAAAAATCACGTGACCAAGTAAACAATTAAACATTGGATAAAAATGGAAAGATATAACCAATGAATAAAGCCGTACCAGATTAACTTCGGCATAAACGACAAAATGGCTGCGCCCACGAAACAACAATAATTAAGAGTAGCGTAAGTAAAAACAAAAGGAATTTAATTTAAATACGCATTTAAGAGGCAAACTACTACAGAACAAACACAATATCACATCTAAAGCAAATCCTACAGGTAAATAACTCGCTAAGTCTTAGATTCATCAGAAAAAATGTAGCTAAAGAGACTTCAGCGAACAGGTTTTATAGTACTGCTAGATTATTCGCTGTAGCCAATCCCATGTCAAAAGTCAACCAGAACCGTTACATATTTATGTCATGCTGTAATTCAATACATTTGCGTGATCTGGACAAAAGCTATTTTAATACAGGTTTATAGATATATTTGGGACACTTCAGTCTATATTTTTGAACACAGAATGTTAGATTGATGAAATAATGCCTCAAAGTTTATTGGTGGGTTCACATTACATAAAATTCTCCACCATTGCTGCCCTAATTATCATGTGACTAGCGAGAATTTAGGTTTGGATACCTTTGCATGACATTTGGTGACCTAAATGCTATTTTTAATTGAAAACATGGCTTTGCCATTATATAAATGAATAACGGTATATTTATTCAATAACAGACATTGTACCAAAAACATGTTGGATTTATATTGTTTTGAGTGATGATTCATGAATTATTTGTTTGTTTTTATTTAAAATCGTACACTTACTAAAAATAGTGTATGGTCCATTACTAAAAATAGATGCTAGAATTCCCAAAACTTGAAGTCCCGTGAGATTTCATTTGAAAGCAGACTCCATATTGGTAAACATGTATATTATTTTTACATTATATTACGACTTCCTTTCATTGATATTTTGTATCATAATCATATAATTGTTTCTAGGTATGGATGGCACAGCAAAAAACAGAATTTGAGAAAAAGAAAGAAGAAGATATGGTTGCTCAGTATAGAAAGGAACAAGATATGTATGAAAACAGGTATGACTAAATTTGTTTTACTTTCCAAAAGTTAAAATTGATTCTGTAATATTCTTCAAAATTAGCAAATAAGAAGTTTTTTGATTTCCGGTTACAAAAGCTTTGTGAAAATGAAAAATTGTCATTTAAATATCTGATAGAATTAGAAAAATTATGAAAGATTTAGCTTTAATGATTTTTTTCATGCAATGACTAGCTGACAAAATAAAAGTTGTGATATTTCATATGTCTTCCCAAAAATGACCTACGGTACTATGATAATGTCCCAAAAAAAATCAATCAAAATAATTGTTGTAACCTAAGAAGATTGGAAAATTCTTATCACTATATCAGCATGGTGTTTAACATGATAACAATGGTAAATTTGTTACAAGTTTGGAAAAAGTAGTCATTGGCAATAGAGCTGAACCATCATTTGCTACTTTTACTATTTAAATATTGTACAATTATAGTGATTTAATTACAGGAGACAACTGAGTTTACATTTTCCTACATTTATGACAATTTTTTCAAATTACATTTCTTACTACTAATGATAAGAATCTTATATATTATGTCTTTTGCGTCTTCAAGGTATCTACCACTCAACCAAGGACTCATGGGTTCAAGCTTTTCTTAGGTCACAGCCATGTTTCTTCATATACATGTATGACACATGCAATGGTTAGTTTCAGGCATCAGTGGTGATTCAAGTATGCTGAAAGCTCTCTTCATAATCCAGCTTAGATAAATAATGTTTAAACTAAGAATGTTATTGTATGTTTATACAGGGCTTTACTGGGAGATGAGAAAGCTAAACTTGGATTAAGTTTTATGTATGATGCCCCACCTGGTTTGAAGAAAGCAGAAAAAGAGGTAATTAATACTTCAATATTTATACTGCATAACTGACTGAAGTTTAGATCGATTTATGTTTATATATAGATCTGATCAACAGTGACTATGTTTTGCCTTCTAGCAGCTTTTGATTTTCCAATAAAGCTTTTTTAAGCCAAGCAATCAAATCATCCATTACCATAAAGTATTTTACAAAAACATCCTCATCAATGAAATCAGACATGTCAGTATTAATTCCATTTAATCTGTCTTACGACTAGGTTGTGCCAGACATGTTTTATTTAATAAATGCTGACTTAACAGAACAAAATCCTATACTAAATGTAGGAAAATTCATGTTTAGGCTCATTGTGTAATTTTTGAGTCAGAAAATAATGCCACCTGTTGAAGACATGCTAAATTGGTTAGTATGTTTTACAATCAAACAAAAAACTGTAATTAATCAATCAGGTTCTGTTCGATTAAAATTTAAACCTGTCTTTTGAAGCTACATAGATAAGAATGATAATTCTAGTTTTATTAGATACATGTTTCAACAAAATGTTTCTCATAGACTCTAACTTCCAAAACATTTAACAAATAAATGGATCATCACTAAATGATTCTCTGTAGTTTTCACTAATAAATTTGATTTGATGTGCATAACTTTTAAGATGCAGTAAGAGGTGACAATAGAAATAGTTCTGAACAATAATTCATGAACTAATTTATTAAAATTCATGCCTGAAATATTCCTTTTCAGAAAGAAGAAGGCGAACCAGAATACAAGTTTGAATGGCAGAGAAAATTCAATGCTCCAAGAGAACAGTAAGCTAACAAAAATTTACTTTTGTTTAAAATCTAGAGTTTTGTTGTTTTTCTTGTCTTTTGGTTTCTGTCATCATTTCTAGGCTCAATGACAAGTTATCTGTCCATTTAAGGCACTAGAATACAGACTCATCTTGGGTTTTTAGGGGGTAGGATGAGTAAATATTGATTTGAAACTTTCATGTAATGCATTTTAACTTGTAAGTACTGACATGAAACTTTTCAAGCACATACATATAAGAGTGTTTTTCATTTTTTCATAAGTTTGACTGGAATGCATGAAAAAAGACACCAAACATCAACATTTTTTTTGTGAACCGATTGTGATATAAATTATGATATAAATAAGCATTTTATACTTGTATCTAAAGAACTTGATCTCTATTTATTCATATACAAAGTAATTGGTATATTAATTCTATTTATAAATTCTATTTAAAGATATGCCAAGAATGATGAAACAATTCGTGACCAGCCATTTGGTATAGAAGTACGCAATGTCAGATGTATTAAATGTCGCCAGTGGGGCCATGTTAACACAGACAGAATATGTCCATTATTTGGAAAAGATCTTGCTGCAGAGCCTGAACAACGTTAGTAAATTTTGTCTGTTAAATGAAATATGGTACTATAACTGTGTGATACACTATAAATAATATACTTACTTAATTCAGTGTTTATGTCAGTTTCTGATTTTCATCAATTAAAGATCTTGAATGTTGTAATTTAGGTTGTAACCACACTTAACCCATTATTTCATGAGCATTTTGTGAAAAATGGCTGTTTTCATTGAAAAGTCTCTCGTTACAAGTTCAAATTGGTATAATACTATAAAAACTGCTTCAACACTAATCAAACTTGGCACAAATGTTGACTGGACCAATGCCCTTGCAACAACATGCTCAGGCTTAAATTTTCTGTTACCATGGCAACGAGGGGACATCTCAAAATTGTCAAAAATCACTATTTTGCGTTGATTTTTTCCATCATAATTGATTTCAAAGTGCTGCAACTTCTCAATGGATTGAGATAGAGTCAAATGCTTTTCAGCGTTGGTTACACGTTACCTTATGATCAATCTGAGGTCATTTATAGCCTCTCACAAGTCCAAAATTTTCTTGGCGATGAGGGGGACTCCGCCCCCCTTCAAACCCCCCAAACGCCGAAGGGGTCACTTTTTTTAACAACATTTCTCAAACAAAAACAAGTGTTGGGGGCCTAAATAAGGCATTTTTTCACCATTTGAGACAACAAAAAAGGGGGGGGGGTGAAAAAGGCGTTAAAAGGGGTGTATATGAAGTAATGGGTTAACAGAAAATGATGAAAATACTTGAAATTACCCTAAATCGCATTTTTTCCATGTTTAAACATGGCCTGTCATATAAATTTGAAGAAAAATTGTTGTTTTGTAGATTTTTTTATTTTTTTCATTAACCCATTACTTCATGAGCATTTTGTGAAAAATGGCTGTTTTCATTGAAAAGTCTCTCGTTACAAGTTCAAATTGGTATAATACTATAAAAACTGCTTCAACACTAATCAAACTTGGCACAAATGTTGACTGGACCAATGCCCTTGCAACAACATGCTCAGGCTTAAATTTTCTGTTACCATGGCAACGAGGGGACATCTCAAAATTGCCAAAAATCACTATTTTGCGTTGATTTTTTCCATCATAATTGATTTCAAAGTGCTGCAACTTCTCAATGGATTGAGATAGAGTCAAATGCTTTTCAGCGTTGGTTACACGTTACCTTATGATCAATCTGAGGTCATTTATAGCCTCTCTCAAGTCCAAAATTTTCTTGGCGATGAGGGGGACTCCGCCCCCCTTCTGGCAACCCCCTGATGTATCTTTTGGTTGGGGGGCCGCGCCGAAAAAGTGGTCACTTTTTTAAACAACATTTCTCAAACAAAAACAAGTGTTGGGGGCCTAAATAAGGCATTTTTTCACCATTTGAGACAACAAAAAAGGGGGGGGGGGTGAAAAAGGCGTTAAAAGGCGTGTATATGAAGTAATGGGTTAAGTGAAATTTTATATATAAATATTATAAATATGCTTCTAAAACAATTTTTAAACATCGAAGAATTTGTAAAATATGTACTGCAAATATTTGTCCTCATTATATGTAATCATTAAACTAAATGCATTCATTTGTTATAAAAAAAATTTGACTTAAACTTTATAGAAAATAAATTTCTCATTACCTAACTTTATTTACATGAAATGTTAAATTCGGTTATATTTTTACAAATAATGCTTTTTTAATAATGCTTTACAATATTGATAAATCTTCATTTGAGCATTATATTTAGGATATAAAACCATAACAAAATTGAGTAACATGATCTTAATATAAAATGTTTTGACAGGAGCAGCAAAGTTAGGAGTAGATGTAAAAGTACAATTTAAGTTAACATTTGTTAAAATTTGCTAAATTTTTATTCCATTGCCTAAGTTATTTACTTAATACATAAATAGGTGAATCTCATCATTAACTTTATTATAAATGATAAGTAAATATCTCGAAGTTATATGAACCTAAAAGATATATTTCAAACATTCAGTAACATGTCCTTTGTTTGCTGTATGATCTCTTTTACATATCCATCTAGTAGTCTTTATTCTCTGTTGTGGCTGAGGAATTGCCTTTTATTGTTGAGGCATCTGAAATACAGCCACTGTTTAACCCTGCATGATCATAAGAGGTGACTTAATAAGTTCAAGTTAATGAAGTTTATGCAACCCTGTTTCAGCAGGTGCTGGTGTTTCTTTAAGTTTGTGACACCCTAAGTTAGCTGAAATCATCTTTCCTGTTTCGGTGCCATATGACCTAAATTGTGTTGGTGCACCGTAAAGCCAAACAAAATTAATCTTTATTATAATGGAATTAATGTGCTTTTCTTTACTATACAATTTCAGAAACTCGGGAGTTATATCTCTATTACAGCACATCTTTAACGTCTGCCAATAATTTATATTTCAGCAAAAACAAGTGCCTCATCTTTATTAGATTCCATGAGAGAGGATGGTTTTACACTTAAGCAATCATTGTTGGGAAAAATGTCTGATCCAATGGCAGATAATGAGGTATTAGACACTAAATTCTAGTTATAACTCATATTGAATATTCAGCATGTTCAGCTTAGCACTATATCATTCAGAATATATTGCTAATTAAAGCTGCATTTTATTAGTGAAATGGGTTTCCTATCAGCTTTATTTCTTTATTTTAGTGTCCAGACAACCTAAATGAGTTTTATAAGTATAAATGTTTGCAACCTCTTTGTGGAGAAATTGATAGTACAATTTCTGTTTGCATGAGAAAATCTACCTTTAGGCTCATTGTTCATTTCTGTATTATATTAGATCAGATTTTCAACAATACTGTTAAAAAGGTTAAAGGAACTATTAGTATATTAGTGACATAGGTTTGGTATTCTAAAGCACTTTTCCCTTAAAATTCAAATTAAATAAAAGCTGTTTAATATTTATTTCAGCAAATGTTACCAAGTGAGGATGAGGAGGATCCAGAAGTGAAGTTTCTAAAGTCTCTGTCTGCTAAACAAAAGAAGAAATTGCTCAAGTAAGAATACCAATATAACTTACCCTTGCTGTCATGTTGTGGGCAATTCCCTATGGATTAAAGTTGTGTGTAGTAGTATTTGAGTGGGTCATATCTATTTTTAATAATTCATCACCGACAAATAAAATTGACTCCGGTGAATTTTGGGGCAGAGCTACCAGTAGTTATTTAGTGATTTATATGTATGCACTTAACAAATGTTTTAAATACTCCTATTTTAAATGTGTAATTTCAAAACTTGAAATTGCATGTTATTTTGTACACAAAGTCAAATTGCCATAGTCTTTATTGTTGCAGTGTTAAATAATGAAACATGGGGTGTATTGCATCCCAGAGCATGACCTCTTTAAATAGTTTTTTTTGCAATACATGTTTTTCATAGATTATTTATACAGAATGGAACATGTGTTGTTAGATGAGTAGACATTTAAAAAGAAAAACCGGCAAATTTTTTCTTGTATAACTGTTACAAAAAAGGTTTAGCTTTTGTCAATTTGCTCACAAGATCACAGCCCACAAACAAATCTGATACATGATTTTAGGACATTTATTCAATTTCATGATATGTTGTTAGATGCATGTTAACTTATTAAGCCTGCGAGGGCCAATAAATATAGTATGTGAATATTTTACTTCATTCTGGCATGTGGACTATGTGGACTAATTGTTTAATATTGATTAGTTGCATTACCAAGCAAGAGTGTAAGATGTTTGTTATAACACCTGCATTATTCTGTTTTCCAGATCATAATTTTATTACAATAAAGGGGTGAAACTCTCTGTTAGAGTGAGGCTAAATTAGAATATAAATTGTTTCTGTAACGTAACAGAACTTTGCTGCCAGTCATGAACACTTACCTTTAAAATACAAACCTCAAAGTGTTTGTGAATTTCAGTTGTCACCCTTTCCTTAGAAAATGTCATTATTTCTTAGAATAAAGTGTATATTTCTGGTGTAGATATCATGAAGCAAACAGGAAATACTGTCTCATATGATTGATAAAATTTCCAGTTTATAATCCATATACTGTTTGAAAGAGAAAAATATCATTGGAGTACTAAGCTCTTTAGTTTAGTATATAACATTATAGTTATTTTTGGATGAAAATTAAATGCAAGGCTTTAAGACATGGTAATTAAAAAAAACAACTTTGTTTTGATTACAGTTACATTGCATTATTTTGTGTGTTTTGTATTATTTCAGAAACTTTGTTATAATGTATGTGTAAAATACTGGTTTGAATATGCTGTGATAATGTGTTGTAGGAAACTAAACAGACTTCAACAAGGGCAATCTAGTGGTAAAGTTGAGAAAAAGAAAAAAAAGAAGAGAAAGAAAGAACATAAACACAAATCAGGGAAGAAAAGGAAGGAGGAGGACAGCTCAGGTTAGTTTGTAAATGATTATAAGTGTTCTGGTTGTGACCAAATTGTGCTGTGTGCTTAAATCTGAAGGCAAATTATAAATAATAAAACAATTAAGTTTTTAGATACAAGTATTATTTAAAACAGGATAGGAAGATCCATTCAATGATGATAAATGAATAATATTACAACGGGTAGTTTAAGATAATGGTGGGCTAAAGCTTTATCCTATATTGACTTATCACTTAGCCACATTAATATAATACTTAAAAGTAAGTTTTAGCTTGAGTATTCAAAGAATAGGGAGAACACTTGTTTAAGAGCATGATAGGACTAAGGAGGTCACTTTCAAAAAAAGATGTGGATTCTGATAAAAATTATGGCCCCGTTATAATGTTGACAGGCCTACATTATCCAGGCTCTTGTTTTACAATCAAGCACTGAGAATGGTCTGGTACACTGTCCTACCATCAGCTTTTGTTAGTCCTTAACCTGCGTATTGTCTTAATTGAACTTGTTCACCTTCCATATTCCATCCATTAGTAATTTAACAATATCAAGATCAAAACCTGGAAGTTGGTCAGCCAACAGGATAGAACCTGGTCAGGCTGCGCAGATGCGCAATGTTGGTCTGACTCTACTTGTGGCAAAGGCTAATCACTTTTGGTTACATAGAGGATATTTGTTTGTTTTGCATGTAAGATTGAAATATATTTCACTGAGTGAACACCAGATGCAATATTTTCACGAGTGGCATAGCCACAAGTGAAAATAGAATAGCTTGTGTTCACGAATGAAATATACCGTATAAGTACTATTTTCTGCGGGAACTTTATTTCTGCGGTTCATAACGACACTGCAGATTTAAAAAACGCAGAAAATTAAGCCTTTCCGTATGTTTATGTCGGAATATGTCAACTACCGGTATTATATAAGTACATTACCATGTACCGTTAGAAATAAATGTTTCTTTGCTTGTTCGCTTTGTTTAAATAATTATTAAGTTTGTATGATTTTCGCTCACACTTAGCTAGTTGTGCAATAAACATACCCTTTTGTATTTGTACAATATCTTGTGTCTATGTGCAATTTTGCCATTGTTTATTATTCACTCTTTATATTACTTACACGTACAGTAATAAAATTTTGTCATTGCACGTTTAGTAACATATATATACCAATAACTGGAAGTATTGTATATGTTAAATCAACAAATCTTGAAATGTTGTCTGATTGTGTTGGTTTATTTTGTAAAAATATATTAATTTAAACGCAGAAATAAAAAACATCAATGCGAGAATGATGACATCGCAGAAGTAAGATATGCAGAAATTTAAAACCCTTTATTTTAACAAAAATCGCAGAATATTAAGCCTGCAGAAATAAGTACTTATACGGTATTTCAATCTCATATGTAAAACAAATAAATTTTCTTTTTATATCATGCTTTTTAAGTAATTTTAAGTATATTTGACTTATTTTGCAGCGTAACGTCTTGCATTCTCCTTTATGATGTCATCACATCATGAGGTCACATCATCAACTTTGAAATATAGTTCTGTTAAATTTCTCTAATTTTGTTGCATTTTTAACATGATGTATGATAACATCAACATTCTTTTCCTAAAGAGCAAAATTTATGTATGACAGCATTTTTTTTTTTTTGCCTGTTATTCCATTTACTTATGACATTCTTTTCATCCGCATTTAGATATATTCTGGCTACAGTAAAAAATTATATTTTATAAATTGTACTAGTGGTCAATCAGAACATAATCATCTGATAGATTACAGTAAAACACTGGAAAGCATGAAATAAATCAGGTGTATTTTTAATGCTCCATACATTATGTTATTTTGCTACTAAATTAACTTTCATAATTGGATAACTTTAATGAATGTTTTATCTTATAGAAGAGTCAGAAGATGGACACAGGAAGAAATCAAAGAAAGTTACAAAACAGTCCTCAGGTTCAAGTGATTCAGATACAGGTTATTAGTTAATTTATCATTAAGTATTGTGTAAATATTAGACAAACTACAGTACGCTCAGCGCGGCTTTTTCAAAACCCGCGTGACACCGCGGATGAGGTTTACCGCGGACGAAAATTTGCTCAGATATTGTCCGCGTGACCCCGCGGACAGAAAATTTTCACCACCGCGGACATTAATCGGCGGCTGAAACCGTTTCCCCCGCGGAACGCAGTGGTAAATTGCGGAGGAACGCGGCGGTCAAACACCGGTCAACACGGTGGAAACCTTAAATTTTAAAAATTAATTACTGTATTTAAACATCAGTATACATGTAAGTACGTACATGTACTGTAACATGTACTGTACATATATATGTAACTATATGTAAAATGTGTTTGTTTTCTTTCTTTTTTGTTGTAATAAAAGTACATGTACAAATGCAGTGTTTTTCTTGTTCGTGTTGGGTAATGTATAATATGTCTTCGACATCAAGATAAATCATTGTCGTCGCAACTTCATGGTAGTGAGAAACTTGAAGTCAAATAATGAAAAATTCGGCATATGACATTTATGAAAAAGATACTACAACAATTTATATGCCAGCTTTTGTTTCTTATTTAAAAACTTTGAAAACGTGACCCTCAACAATTTTATTCAGGCAATATTCCAGGACGTCTCTTTCAATTGTTAGATGCGTTTTACTGTTTCTTTTTATTTGCATGTTGATCATAAAGTCTTATATTTTATTTGGAACATTAAAAGAAAGCGTTTATTTCACCAAAATATACATTAAATGATATTCTTGATTTATCTAATTACAGGTGTGAGCGTAATGTATATGTTTTGAAGTTTGTATCAACTGTTGAAGTTTATTTTCATTTTTGTTTTAGTAGTTTGTTTGCTTGTTCTTTTTTATTTTTTTATAGATATTTTTTGCAGAATTTTGTTAAACTTGTATTCACACTCATCGACCTCTTACAGGACATGTACTGTAGCGTCAGTCATCATTGAGTAATCAGCACAAATGTCCTTTTTTTACTAAGTATCATATTTATGGCTCCCATATAGTTTAACAGCAATAATACTTATAGAACCACAAGGAATGAACAAGTAAAGATGACAGTTATAAATGACGATTTCAGTTGTAAAAATATTGGTATGTGGATGAATAGTTTTGTGGACGTTTATAACAAAAATATCAAAAACAACAACAAAAACAGGTACAGCTGTAATTGTTTTTATTTCAAATTCCGTTCAAATAATTTAACATATAATAACATTTAAGGAGACAATTGTGGTCAATTTTTCAAGTCATTGTGTAAAAAAGATGACGTTAAAAATAATAAAACGTCTATTATTTTTGGAGGTTAATTTATACTGACCAACTGACCATGGCGTTCCCCCGCGGGAAACGGGTGACTGATTTTATCGATAAATGAAGAACGATCGTCAGAATTTTGTCCGCGGTGGAAACAACTGAACACCGGGGATCGCGGGGAAATTAGGCTTCTCATCGCGGACGAACCCCCGCGTTTGTCCGCGATAAAAAAAAATCGTCCACGGTGGTATCGCGGAAAAAGCAAAACCTGCGGTGAGCGTACTGTACTTACTAGAGAAATATCATTTGTAACATGCTGGAAAATAGAAATATTTCAGTTTAACATATTTTTTAATAGAAATGTACTGGTTGGGGAACACCAAATCTGGAATTTCTTAAATGTTAATACTTTTGTGTATTACAAGAACATTGCTGTTGAAAATTCTGATGTAACAAATGCACTGACCTCTTTCTCTAGCTATAATCATTTGCAGAGTAAACAAAAGAACACTCAAAATTTGAGTATGCATATGCTGCACATACTGTTAGAATATTGTGTTTTATGTTAAAATTGAAGGATAATAATTTAAAACACAAGTTATTACCTAAATTAAATTTATGTCACACATACCTGTCTGGACACCTGGTACTGTAGTAAGGTGAATTTTGGCAATATTGATACCCCCATGTACAGACTGTAAACACAAGTGTCAGCATAAAGGGAAATAAAAAAAGAAAAGCTAGCTCTTCAGATGTTGTGAAAAGAACCTAGCTGTACTGTGAATATAGCTTTTATATTGATTGTGAAATCTGTTTGGAAAAACATTCTGGTTAATGGTCACTGACCACTATGTTATTATCTAACAGGAAAATAACCAATTTTAGTTAAATTGTAAATTGTTTCAAACTAAACTTACACTTGGAAAACAAAAATGCTTATACCTCTTTAGCTGAGTTATTTCTTTGAGTTTAAGGAATGGAAATTATAGACATATCAAGCAGATACACAGCTTGAAAATTCAGTTAAGTTATGCATTTTCTTGAAATGATGCATGTATGAAGTGTATTCCATTTATAAGCAGAATTGAAGTTTGCAATGCGACCTAAATTATGTTTATGGCACTTCAAAACTACACTTAATCTAAGGGTTATTATAATTGTTTTAAAGGGATACTCAGGCAAAATAATGACAAAAATATAAAAATGATCTTCTGTACTCACCCTAAAATGACATTTCTTTAAGTCCCAGCATGAATTTCTGTATAAATTCTATATATTTTGGGTTTGCAGCTTAAATATATCTATATATGTTGAACGAAATTTAGACGCCAACAGAATCACCGAATAGTTTAAAAACAAGTCCTGTGATTTGAACAAACCCTGGAAGTTACAATAACAAGTATTGTGGATATTGTATGATTGAAACAAGTCTAAGTAATGGATTTGACATGCTTTTTAATGTTTCCAGAGTAAACAGTGACAACTTTTGTGAATTCTTAGCACTCTAACCTGACCCATGCGGGTCAAGTTAGGAAAACACCATTTTATTCTTTATATGGAGAAAAGATTTGTTCCTTTGACTGTTTAGTGTATTCATTTTGAAGACATTTACAGAATAATGAATGAAAAATTCAAAACTAAGAAATTAAAATTTTGCCTGTGTCTCCCTTTAATCCACTTAGCTGAATAAAGGAAGACAAGAAATATGTTGAACTGTTGATTTTGCTTTATCCTACAGGGGTCATGATAACCTGATATTTCAAATAGTGCATATTGATTTTATTTGTAACACTGTTTCATTGGATAATCATGACTTTTTATAAACCATATACACGGCTGCTGTCCATTTATGAAGGACTTTTTTTTCTCAAAAGAGGTTTGCTGTATAACCAATTCATTATAAAGATGTGACTGTGATTTGGGTTATATATGCAAAGAACCATTTATATAGGACCATATAACCTGTCAAAAAACTTTATAACTAGTTGTAGCAATATACAACCAAACAGTATTGGCTTGCAGATATTAAATTAATCTACTAATAATTGTATCCATTTTCCATTTCTTGTATTTAGATTTCTGCCCTTCAGCAAAATGAAATTTAAATGTTTGAAGTTAGACATAAAATGCAGCCATATCTTTTGTTCTTGAAGGTATATACATGTATTGTGGTCTGAATTGCATTATGGTACTAGAATATCGCAGTAAATCATGGTACAATTGTGGCATATCATGACAATCCTATTTTTATTCTTCACCAATTGAGTTGAACTCATAAAGGTATTTGATTAGATCTGTACTTCTTATGTGGAAGAAAATTAAATTATTTGGCCATCTTAATGAAATTTCAACAAATTTAATAACCATATGTACTATGTCATTTTAGATGATGAAAGGACCAGAAAGAAAAAGCACAGCAATAATGGAAATCATACATCCACTATGAGAAATTTACCTTCACCAGAACACCTGCATAGAAATAGTGGTAGACAAAAGCAACGAGCTGACAGTAGAGAAAGAGACTATTATATGGAAAAGCAGCAAAGTAGAGATCATTTTAATGGCAGACAGAGAGACAGAAGGGGGGAAAGTCCTGATAGAAATAGAAGGGGGGAAAGTCCTGATAGAAATAGACATAGAAGGGGGGAAAGTCCTGATAGAAATAGGTATAGAAGAGGGGAAAGTCCAGAAAGTAACAGACATATAAAAAGAGAAAGGTCAGAATATGATAGTAGAAATAGAAAAATTAAAAGAGAAAAAGCAGAGTTGGATGAAAGAAGGCAAAATGGATCTAGAGAAAGAAGTAGATCTAGAGAAAGGAGAAACAGAGATGGTAGAAAAAAAGATGAAGATAAGCATAGATATAGAGACAGATCAGATTCATCAGATGGAAGAAGAATAAATCAATATGATAGAGAAAACCAAAAAGAAGTTAAATCTAGGTCAAGGAGAAATGAGAGTTCCTCTCAATCTTCTGAAAGTGACAGTTCTGTTGAAAGAAAGTCTAAACGCCATAATAAAAGGTCAGACTCACCTAAACAGAGGGTAGTAAAGAAAGAAAATAATCAGCGTAATGACAAGGAATTTGAGAAGAACCGGTCACAAGGAAAATCTGAAAAATACAAAAAGGACAGACGTCGACACTCCTCAGAAAGGAGAAGAAATCGTAGCAGTTCTGAATCTGGAAACTACAGTTCAGATTGATAATTACAGTTAAAAGAATAAAAAAATGTTCCAAATAGAATGAATTATCTCTTTAAAAAAAAATATGTGTAAATAGTTTTTTAAATAATAAAATTTGTTTGACACTGATATATTGTCATTAAAGTCATTATTTAATTACATGTATTCTTTATTATCATCTACATTACTCATCTACTACTTCTTTCTCATAGCTTATATAAAAGGTATTCACTGCTACAGATTCTAAGAACCAGTTTGTTTACTGGTAAAAAAATTTAACACCCATCTTAGTAGAAAGTATAGGTCAGAAAAGTTTATTTGTAGGTAATGAACCCTAACTCCTAAATAGTCGTACATTTTAATATTCTTACTTAGAGCAGCATGCCTTCAGTTACAAGTGTACAAGGTAAGTGAAAGCCTAGCGTCCACATAAACTACATATAAGACAGTTTGTCAAAATATTCAGAAAGTGATCGTACAATAGTCTAAACCAGGTAGAATTTAGAGGGAAAAATTTTTTGTTGTCTTATTTTCCATCTTACATTTAAAGGTTCACTGTTAATACATTTTTTGAAATATACGATTCAGGCAAGCTGTCGGGATGTCTATTTCATTTGTGGGGTTATATCCCTGACTGGTTCATATAAAGTATTTGACAAAGAGGTACAAGTAACTTAGTAGCAACACCCTTGGTAATGGCAACCAGTAAATAAAACTCATTTACCAAGGTTGACGTATATTTTTCAATATTTCAGGCAGTGAAAGACTTAATTTTCATAACTGATAACCATTAAATTTTTTAGCAGAATGTTTATGGAAAATGTTGCATACAAGCTTAGGTTCTGATGTAGATTTGTCCACATTTCCAATGTTAGTTTGGTATATATAATGTTGGTTTCTAGAAAACATGATACTTGAAAGTAGTTAAAAGGGGCAGACAAAAAACTGTAAAAATTTGTTGTAGAGGCATAGTATGATGGTGTCTGTTATCTGATTGCAGTGATTAATGCAAACAACTAAACACGTTATTTATATAGCAGAATTCAATACATTAAAATATGGTAAAATAAAACTTAAATCTATATACATACAATCTAAAATAACAACAATACTTTTAAACTGGTACTGGTACTGGCACAATAATTTAGTGGTGTTCAATCTATAAGGAAACTTTACTGTGGTTTCTTATGTTTCTGGTCGTTAAATTTCTTTGGATATAATTTAATAAAAACAACAACAACAACACAAAAACACGTTGTGCTACATAATTTTGTAAGTATTTATACTATGGTGTGCTTTCAAAGACTGCCAGTTTTACAGTTACACATTATATTACGAGAAAACACGGTAAACTGACAAAATATGGGGGAGTTGACCCGTGACACAACGTAAAAAGATACAATATCAGATAGAGAGGCAGGTCAGGCGCTAGCCATACGTAAGCTTACGTAGCTTTGGTGTTGGTAGTTTTCACTCCGGATCACGGCATTCAGCCACATTGAATTTACCAGAGTACAGTTCATCCACCGTATCGTTCCTTAGCAGGATGTCAAACAGTTTACCAGTATTAGCAGCCTTCACTTTCATGAGGAACTGATTGCTTTTGTACATGCGCATGCCAAAGGGGTCATATATAGTGTAATACACCAATAAACACTTTCCCCAACTAGCAGACGACAGGCTATTCTTATCAGTAGGTTTTCGAGTAAAGATAACTGGTTGCGTATCTCATTGTATAAATTGTATGTAAAATGGTATGACATAGTATGTAAAATGATCTGACATATGGTAAGTTTAACAGTTAATTTAAATACTTTGGTGACAAAAAATATGTAAAATTATATACTGTGGCAAAGCTAAGATCCCAAGCTTTCCATTGATGTAATAATTAAAAGGCTACATATAGGGGTTATACTTTTGTCAGAGTCGGTGGTGTCGTTGTCGGCGTCCCCTAAAGCTTGTCTGGAGCATAACTCAGTCACTATAAGTCGGATTGACTTCAAACTTGGTATGCATGCTTCTTTCAATAACACGAAGTGCAGTGCTCAAGGACCGGTACTCTGTACTTCTTAATTTTTGAGTTATTGCCCTTTGCAGGGTTCCCTCTGGGTCAAAATTAGTTTGCGCCACCAAATTCGCCAATCAGAAAAAGTTGGAGCCAATGGCTCCAAAGTTGGAGCCAATAATTCTGCAAGGGAGACATGCCTATCTTTGCTAAGATATGCTAGCAGTTATATATCATTATGATTACAAACACATATTTATAATATTTCATTTAATTACAGCTGCACATGTTTATTATCTAAAATATAGACATACTATTATGTGGTTTTCAAATTCCATTTAAATAAATACACATGACGGCATAAATGTAATCAAAAACATCATGTTAAGTTAGTCATTGGAGGTCCTGTTTTCCACCATTTTGCCAGTATAGCAGTTCTTCTCACAGGCTGGACTGAGCCAAGATCTTTCCCAGCCTCTACCCAACAATCTGGTGATCTACAGATACAAAATTTAAAAAAACAACATTACTATAAATTGACTTCATCTAAAAATCAAGAACAAAAAATGAAATAGATACTAAGTATTTTTAACAATGAAAAATATTGTTTATTTTAATAGGGTTTGCATATGAATAGACACTTCAGCACTTTACATTCAGATATGAAAATATTAACATTGCAGTACAGTGACTTTAGATCAATCATTGGTGAAATTATTCTTTTAATTGTCATCCGATTTAATATTCAAAATGTAATTATTTTTAATCAGTTGACGAGTCAACTTACCGAAAGTTCAATTTCTCTGTTCGCTACTAACACCTGTTGACCACACATGTCAATAATTGAAAGACGTAAATTGTTCCATTTAACACATTGACACTTTCATCTTCACATGTTCCCGAAGTGTCACATAATTGATGACATAATTGATTATACGGTACCCGATTATACAGTTTGATAAACAAACTAACAGCGCGTGACATTTCACATTTGGGCCGCTTATGTAATTGACGCGGCCGCTTATGACATTTAAGTGTACTAGTTGTCGGATGCTTTTTATCTTACGTTGGCGCCAGTTAAATTCGCCAATTTAAGATTTTATGCGCCAGAATTAATATATTGTCGCATTTGGCGCCATTGGCGAGCGACAGCGGGAACCCTGCTTTGTAAATTTTCATACTTAACTTTTTGTCCGGGCCATTTCTCTTCAACTATTATCTATAAAAGCTATGGACTTGAAACTTCATAGGATGATAGATCTCATTAAGAAGAAGTGCAGTTCACAAGAATCAGTACTTTGCACTTCCTAATTTTTGAGTTTTTCCCTTTGTTATTTTCATACTTAACTTTTTGTCCGGGCCATTTCTCCTAATGTATAAAAGCTATGGACTTGAAACTTCATAGGATGATAGATCTCATTAAGAAGAAGTGCAGTGCACAAGAACAGGTACTCTGCATTTCTTATTTTTTGAGTTATTGCCCTTTGTTAATTTTCATACTTTATTTTTGTCCAGGTCATTTCTCCTCAAGTATGAAAGCTTTAGACATGAAACTTCATAGGATGATAAATCTCATTAAGAAAAAGTGCAGTGTACAAGAACCAGTACTCTGCATTTCTTGTTTTTGAGTTATTACCCTTTATTAATTTTCATACTTTATTTTTGTCCAGGCTATTTCTCATAAATTATAAAAGATATGGACTTGAAACTTCATAGAATGATAGATCTTATTGATAAGAAGTGCATTGCATAGAAACTGCTGCTCTGCACTTATTTTTTTTTTAGTTATTACCCTTTGTTAGTTTTCATATTTCATTTTTGTCCTGGCCATTTCTCCTAAACTATATTGTTCACAAGGCGACACATCCGACTCGCGGAGTTCTAGTCTTCTTTTAACTTTTTAATTTGCATATAAATAATTTCTTTTATTAACAGTTCCCTGACAACGCGCCTGCTAGTCATAATCAGAATTGATTGTTAAGCAGTATAATGTAGATGTAATTTTTACAACAAACTAGCAGTTTAAAAATGGCTTAATTTGTATTGTTTTAGCATAAGAGATATCGATTTTACTCGAAGATAAGGGAAACAACTCGTATTTTTTCACTTGATATACCTCGGTTATTTACGTAGTTCATATGAAAAGTGTTTATGGGTGTATTAACTTACACAAGCAATTTGAGAAAAAAATATTGGGACAAGTATTTTATATAGAGACAAGGGATTTAACTCTAACATTACCCTATCACTGACAGTCTGTGGAAAACAGTCCACAATTTAAGCAAATATCACTGTAACATTTTCATTTCTCTGCTTATCACAATGTAATACCATGCTGATCATTATAAATACAACTTCAAATAATTCATGCAAACCGGTAGTGTTTTATAAATGTTTACCTTTCCCAAAATTGTCCAAAATGAAGTTCATTTACACGAGTGTGTCCACACACACTTTGCCCGTAAGCATACGTTTCTGTGATGATTTCCAGCTAGTGACCGATACAGCCATGAAGTAAAGTGAAGCATTACCCCGATAAAACTACGTATAATCAGTTGATTAGCCAAGGATGGACTAGGGTTGTCATTGATGAAAAATTTTGTATTGATATATCAAGAGACAAATATCTATATCGACTTTTGACAGTAGATACAGTGAAAAGCATTTAAAAATGTGTCATTAATTGGGATCATGGTGTTATGCATGCTTGTATAAGACATTACAAATAGTATAAACTAAAAGAAAATTTGTTATTTTTCTCACTGACATTTGAAAACAGAGTTTAAAGTTAGCCAAAAAAACTGGAAAAAATGACTTCTCTTTAAGACAAAATATAGAGGTATATTCACTTACATAAATAAATTTTAGCTTGTATTGATATTTGGAAGTGTGTATCTATATTGTATTCAATGATGAATATCGATGATATATCAATATTGCTATATTCAATGTAAGCCCTTAGGATGGACATACAAAAAACTCATTTATACAAACATTACAGTTTCCGACAGGTAGAAAATTCAGCACTTGGCGGCCGATATTGCCAAAATGTTTGACTATGTGATTACGAGATTGACGTTTACAGGTTAATTTGCGCTGACAATTAAGAAAACAGAACCCATGTGCGCCAAACCTTTTTATGAATAACTTTTTTGT